CCATTTTTTCCCTTCAACATGAATCCTGTGACCTGTCACCTAAACAGGACTCACTCTTTGGCATCTGAAGGCTCAAGTAAAGGGCTTGGAGATGCTTTTGCCCAGACTGATAAAGAACCTGCATATGGCATTAGGTTTCTTTGGTGGTGCTATCAGGTGCTGTTTAAAGGTGCCAGCTATTTGGTCAGCCTCTGGTCCTCCAAGAACCATTGAAACCATCACAAGCTCTGCGCAGCCCCGGTATTGACAGAGGTCCTTAAAAATGGCCTTGTGCATGCTTTTCAAAGTTTCGGGGGTGATTTCAAAATCAACTCCCTCGACTACAGCCCATATCTTTTTGAAAAGCTTGTCAATGATGGTACATGGGTCGCGGAAGCTACTGTTCACCTTAGCCTTCTTAAAGGTTCTCATGACCACTCTCTCTACAAGTATTAAGACAGATAGTTTCTTTTTCTCTGTCTCTAAGTCCTGCTCTGGTGTTACACATGGCACAGGTTCACGACCTGTCTCAGTTGCTGCAGGTGGCGGTGAGGCTGGCTCCATGTTCTTCAAAGCCCGTATTATGTTGTCACAATGGATGTCAGCCTGAGTGACCGCCCACCACCTTAGCAGTACCTGAAAATGCTTCTCTTTCCTGTCTATAACATCATGGATGTTATCATGTGTTTGTGGTCCCAGGGATTCACGACTAATCCCCTCTGTGATGTAAAGATAAAGGAGATCACTGAGTGCTTTCCTGAAAGCCGGGTCTTTACCGTCTGAAATATTCTGTAATCTTGTCATTTCAGAAAGGTGCTTTCCAACTTGCTGCTTCTCACCACCCTGTGGCCAAAGCAGTCTGTCAACATTATCAGCAAAGGCCTGCAGTGATTCCCTGCTTACACCATCAGAGTTAGAGGAGAAACTTTTACGCAGTTGTCTTGCAGTGCGATGAATTGCCTGTTTCATGTACTGTTTGACCAGACATGTCCGTATTTTGCTCTTCAATTGAAAGCTCTCAGTGTACTCCTCTTCAGACCCAGTCAACTCACTGATTTCATTTGCAACACTGTCAGAGCTGTGGCTAGAGTCACTGAGTAGCACATCAAGCTCCGAATCACAGGCGTCACCCAGAAAAACGTCTATGATGCTGCCCATCTCCTTTGAAAGTATGCTCTGGACTTCAGATATTTTACTTGCTGTACTGTCAATGCTTCCTATGTTTACAGCCATTGAGAGGTCGCTGTCATAATCGTCGTCCTCATCATCTGCGTCACCAACATCATCATCTTCATCATAATAATCATCATCTAGATCGATAATTATGGGATCTTCAGATGAAGGTGACAGTTGGCACAAAAAAGATGTCATTTTGTGCATGACTGATTTTAACATGGAGCTGGTGTGCTTAATCATGTAGTTTAGTGTGTCAGAGAGACACACTTCGTCAAAAGATGAAAATGACGAGGTGTGACAGCTAATGCTGAGAGCAGAGTTAACGCATCTAGCAAGATTCTGATTTCCTTTTTTAATGTATATAAAGACAGACAGAACTTTTATATTTGGATGTACTTCATTTATGTTGTATTTACATTGTATTTTATTTATATTGTGTGGCCTCTTTTTTTCTCTTCCTTATTCTGCTGGTGTGACTTATTTTATTCAGGACGACTCCTGTATGTGCCCAGATTTGATTTGTTTTGTTACTTGTTCTTCATTCATTTACTGTAATGTGTTGTCTTGTGTTGCATTATGTTGTTTATCTATTGTGGAAATTAATTAAAAAAACAACAACTTGAAAACATAACCTAAATATTGAACACCTCAGCTTTAGATAACTGTATTTTATTGTACTTTTGCCCCTCCTCTACATTAACAGGGTTTCATATTTTGACAATTTTTAGAGCACTATTTCTCTAAGTATCAGTGTTATCTTGCCATCTGAACTTTCTCGGTCTTATGTGCTTTTATCTATAATATATTTAGTCAGTTTTTACTGATGTCCACCTTTAGCAGCTAATTACATGGTCTCAAGGTGTGTGTGCTCCTCTTTTCTTCAATACTAATCCCTTGATTCCTCCTGAGATCATATTGATTATTAAAGACCATTATATATTAACTGTAAAAACACACTGACCTTTGCCAGGAAGCGTTTGACAGCTGGGTACGGGGCGATCAAGTCCAGGAATGGAGGCATGAACTTCCGAAACCGTGTCGTTGTTATGCCGACCAGGAATGTTCCATGGTCGCTAAGGCGGATGTTGTCGGGGTAACCGATCATGTTGTCCATGATGATCTCCTTGGTGCCAGCCTTCGGGCCCTTCAGCCAATATCTGAGAGTAGAACGAGAGACGACTGAGCAGCTGATGTTTATCTTTACAGTGTGTGTGTGAAAATTTTACCACATGAGTGACGCAAACAGGTAGTGTCCCCACAAGTCGCCAAAAAACTGGTTTGGAATTAAATTTGTTTCAGTTCTTTGTTTGGAGTGATATTTGTCTTTATCAGTCACTCTTAAGCAAGATATATACTTCTGCTTCAAATCGACTCTGCGTCGACGCAAATTTCTGTAAGCTGAAACCATTTCCCTCAGTGGAAACAAAACTTTTATTTACTTTAATTTCAAAGATAAGAAACAATAAATTGTGAAGACAAAAAAAGCCTCCACAAAAAAAGCATTTTAAGTCTTGTGAGTGATTTATCCTGGCTTCATATGAGCAGAGGAAATCTCCGCTCGTCGCTAGGCTAATTTATACAATGTAAAATGCCATAGGCTTGTTCTAATAACGTTAGCATGTTGTATTTGTGGGGAAAATGTGTCCAGATAAAGACAAGTGTTTGTCTGTGAATGCTGCGAGTTATAGTGAAGCTGATTTGTGTACTTGTGTTTGAAACTGTCTCTATTAAGCCATGTTTAATGTGTGTTTAATGTGTGTTTTTAATCAACTAATCTTTATAACATTTCACAGAAACCCTTCCGCCGACCAGTGTTTTGGAGGTATAACTGCAGAGGCTTGTTTGATCACCTGGGTGGTCCTCAGAAGTGACCAAAAAACTGGTAGACCCCACAAATGATAAAAGCAAGACTGTGTGTACCTTATTATGCGTCCGATGCTAGTCTCAGCCAGCAACAGGAAGTGTTCGTCAGGTGACAGCACAATGCCGTTGGGCATGTACAGAGAGTCCAGCAGGACCTTCACACTTCCCTTCTCTGGATCGAAGGAGAGAAGACGACCGAGGGTGTTCAGCTCGATCACCTGAAACAACAATCAGTTCAGGTTTACTTCTGATTAGCTTTCTTGTTTAATTTAGCTTAGCATAGCTTTGTTTAGTTTTCAGCTCAGTGTATATGTTTAGTTTATCTTAGCTTCATTTAGTTTAGTTTGGATTTTCTTTTTAGTTTAATTTACCTTAACATAGTTCAACTTTTAGCTGACTTTACATTTCTAGTCTGGCCTTTTTAACTTTTTAATTTGTCAGAGTTTAGTTTAACTTCTAGTTTGGTCAAGTTCAGTGTGTAATTTTTAGTTTGTTTATTTTAGCTTTGTTTAATTTAGATTTGTTGAGTTTATCTTTTTAGTTTGATTTAGCTCAGCAGCTTAAACACATGACATCACAACTTAAATTCAACCAAATATCAATGTCTAACGACATTAGTGGCCAGCTGGCTTAGCTTCTGTTTTTAGTTTATCTTGACTTTGTTTAGTTTAGCTTAGCATACTTTTGTTTATCTTTTAGTTTAATTAATATTTTTAATATTTTGTTTAGTTTAGCTTAGTTTGGTTATCTTTTTAGTTCAAAGTTAAGTCTGACTTCTGGTTCGGTTTAGCTTTTAGCTTAATTTGTCTTTTTTTATTTAGTTTATTTGAATTTGGATAAATTTAGATGACAAAATGTGACTAATTATAATTTCTTACAATAGTTTAGTTTAGGGCACTTAAAGTGCAGTGGAGTGAGCAAAATCACTACCTGATTTAGGTACTACCTTACTACCTGGGTCAGCATAAATGGCACGGCTCTACGATGGTTCAAATCATACCTAACAGACAGTAGTTTTTGTGTGGGCATTGCAGACGCCAGGTCTGGTGCAACAGATGTCCACTGTGGGGTGCCTCAGGGGTCAGTGCTAGGTCCGATTCTCTTTTCAGTTTACATGCTCCCTCTTGGCCATCTTATATGCAGATAATACTCCGATCTATTTGAGCTGTGATCCAACATACAACTATCAAAACATGACTAGCCTGCTACACTGCCTTAAGGACATTCACAAGTGGATGTCACAAAACTTCCTGCAGCTTACTGCTGACAAGACAGAGGTATTAATCACAGGACAAGCTAGTGCAAACGTTCAAATATCACAGTCTTGGTTCTCTGTCCCACTTGATAACTTCACACTGCAGAAACCTTGGTGTCATTTTTGATCAGTTCAGATAAACATGTAAATTTAGTAGTTCAATTCAGCTTCCACCATCTCAGAAATACCTCCAGAATCAGATCCTCCCTTTACAACAAACATCTGGAAACTGTTATTCACGCAATCACAATCAGTCGATTAGATTATTGCAAGTCCTTGCTCCCTCTGCTGCCAGAGTCTTGACTCGGACTAGAAAACATGACCACATCACACCAATCCTAGCTTCCCTACGCTGGTTACCTGTTGCTTTTAGAATTGATTTTAAAATTTTATTGACTACTTGTTGACTACATGTTCCTCCTCGCACCCTGATGATCCTCAGATTAACCTTTTCCTGTTGTTCTGAGATCTAGATTAATTCACAAAGGTGACAGAGCCTTTGCAGTCAGAGCTCCTCGGCTTTGGAGTGACCTGCCTGAGGAGATCAGGGCTGCAAACTCAGTCTCATCTTTTCAATCACTTCTGAAAACCTACTTGTTTAACGATTTCTTTTGTGTATTCTAATTTTATTGCTTTTTCTTTTACTTGGATTTGTAAAGCACTTTGTGACTGTGTTTTGAAAGGTGCTATATAAATAAAGATTATTATTATCATTATTATTATTTACCTGTGTTGTTCAGGTTTGTCTTGATACAGGAAGTCAGATTTTGTTGAAGTGCATGTACACACTGCCTCTCCTTGAGCCTCATCAGGAGCACTCAGCACTTCCCTGAACTGAATGGACTCTTAGTGTTCTCTGTTTTGTGGCCAGCCCATGAATGATCCATTAAAAAGCACAAGCGAATGTCCTCGTGTTATTTGGAGGGCTGCAGTTGCTGAGCAACGCTTGGAAAACAAAATTGTAAGACCCTGCTTGCATCAGATTTCTTTTGCTGGTTATCTATTAGCTCGAAGACACACCCTGCTGCCTACATCACTTCTTCAACCTCTTCTCATCCCTTTTAGACGTGTCATGGTGCTTTTAGATTTAAAATCTAAAATCTAAACAGGAGGTGTTTGGAAAATCTCTTTAAGGCTAACTGACTCTAAACTGATCCATCTTTCCCCCTCATCTCACCTCCAGTTTGACATGTCTGCGTCCCCAGCGACTGGAGGAGTCAGTGAAATAAATGATCCCAGTTTGGGAGGAAATCTCCAGCCCGTTCAGGAAGGCAAAGTGAACGCCATCAGCACCTGAGGAACAAATGAAAGAGGGATCATAGACACAGAATTTCATCATCAAGAGGGCTTTATTTATCACGCACGCCAGCACATACACAACACCTTGTGAATTAGCCAGCAGCAGAGTCTTCTCTCCAGTTTTGGGGTTGACGCTGTGCAGCCCAAAGTACGAATCAGCGACTATCAGCTGACCGTGACGATCCAGACGGACCCCGTGAGGACGGCCGCACACGGGCTCGTAGTCTGTACTGCTGCCTGCGCACACACAACACACACAAGTGGTTTTTTAATAGGTTAAATAAATGACTGAGGAAGAGAGGAAGGACGCAGTCGTCCCTGGAAAACAAAGAAAACAAGAAACAGAAATAAAACACAAACCACATTCAGGTAAATTCTGTCCCATCTGTGTGACGAGGGTGAGACTGTCATCAGGGCCGATCCTCCACAGCTTCCCGTCCACTGTGCCTGTGTACACGTTACCTGAGACAACAACACAAACTGATGAGTCAGAGTGAAAAGAGCCCCACTCCATGAAAAATAAGGTGAATCGAGACAGAGCGCAACGCGTCATAATCTGAAAGCCATGCCCCCAAAGGGGAAACGAGGACTGCTTTCCCTTCACACTTTCCACCTCCGTTTCCAGCCTGTTGAGTTTTCCCTAAGTCCAAATACTGAAAAGTTGCTGTGTGGTTCGCTGCACGGCCAATAAAAACCCAGAGCTTAGCTTTTATCAGCTGCTGAGCAGAAAAACGGAACCTTGTAGAAGACAAAAGTGGATACAAGCAATAAAACGTGAGGCTTCAACAAGGGAGAAATTGTGGGATCCTGACACTCAGTATGCCCATGTGTGCAGCAAACACTTTGTCAAACCCTCCAAATGTATTTTTTAGAGGAACAGTTAACTGTATTTATGTATGTTAAGCTAAAGCATTGACAGTATGAATGCAACTTCTGTTATAATTGTGCCTAGCGCTCCGCGAATCAAGCAGTCCATTCCAGCGGTCCGCTCTAGCCCTTCTATCAGTCTATAGTCTCGCTCACCAGACCTTTCTCAAGAAAAGAAAGGTCTGGCTGGGTCGACTCTCACTGTGAGATTGGAAAAAAAAAACTCCCCGGCTGCTTGTATTTCTTTCAACCAATCACAATCGTTCTGGGCTGTGCCACAGCAACGGTGCGCTTGCAAAAATATTGCCGGGGGGAAACAGGTTTTGGTGTAACATGCCCACAAAAATATCGCCTACAGGACGCGAACCATGGTAGAAAAATGGCTACATCCCCGCAAGATCAAACACCGCAAAAGTTAGTAAAGGATGTGTTCAAAACGGTTGAAAACTGCTACACAACCGAAGGTGGTAGGGCGGGACTTCAGCGGGTGGCTCGTTCCACCCAATGAGAGGCTGATCTATGCAGCAAACTTCCGCCCACTCAGACTAATCAGTCTACCAGCATGTAGAGGCATGTCTCAAAACAACAACGTGTGCTGGTAGTAGGAGCAGGCTGACGGCTGAGCATGTCGAAATGCTCATCTTCTTAAAAAAGAATCTCCACATCATGTTTTTTCCAAGACGAGCAAGGTAAGGAGAAGGGACACTGAGGTAGACTGGCAATATTAAGCTTATCAATATACCGTTGCCTCTCTGGTAGGCATAGCATGCTAAAATAATCCTTTGCCATCTTATTATTAGCTAATTATTAGCTAGCTTTAGCTAATAATTTTAGCTAGCTAGCTAGCAATTCAGTTGTGGAGACCTGAAGGCGCGGCTGCAGAGGCAGAATGACAGCGAACGAGCGAGGAAGCGGAGGGGAAAGCGGGCCTCGTTTCCCCTTTGGGGGCGTGGCTTTCAGATTATGACGCGTTGCACTCTGTCTCTATAGAAGTTTTGTAAAAGGAAACTACAAAGCAATACTGAAAAGCAAATGTGTCTTAAAAGCAGCCATTCAAGCAGATAAATTCAACATGTCACATGAGATATAAAGTACAGGGGGCCACAAGGGTCAAAATACTTCCTAAAGTACACAAGCAAAGGCCGTGTTTTATCTTGTAGCAAAGGCCAGAGGTCAAAACCCACCCAGGTGATGAGATAATCTCTGAGTCAAAAACTAGTTTGCCTACAAAGATTAAATCCAGCATGCTCACCCTCCTCATCAGCAGTGAAGGATTCTGGTCCGTGTAGTTTCCCAGTAAACAGCCTGCGGCCCTTCTGCAGCCGGGTGTTGACGGCAAGTGGCCCCTCAAGAGCTGGGGGAGGCCCCTTCAGTCTGGAGGACAGATGTGGATTAAATAGTTACAGACAACTGCAGTAAAATGACACAGTGTTATGTTTTGTTTTTTTTACCCCTGTGCTTATATAAAATTAAATATTGAATTTATATTTCAGTAAATGTTTGACTCCATCTACGACCCAACCCTCACCTATGGTCATGAGCTCTGGGTAGTGACCAAAAGAATGAGGTTGCAGATACAAGCGGCTGAAATGAGTTTCCTTTGTGAGGTGTCTGGGCTCAGCCTTAGAGATAGGGTGAGGAGCTCGGACATCTGGAGGGAGCTCGGAGTAGAGCTGCTTATGTTCAACCAATCACCTTTGGTTAACTTTATGTTAGCTTCTTTTACAATTGTTTTAAGGCTTTTTAATATTGATTATCATCTCTAGAGCAGTTAAAGGTCTAGTGTGACAGATTTAGTGGCATCTAGTGGTAAAGTTGAGGATTGCAACCGAGTGAAACTTCTCCAGGTAAGAAAACTACAGTTGCCAAAGCATAGAGACGGAAACATGAATGGCCCCATCTAGAGTCGATGTTTGGTTTGTCCGTTCTGGGCTACTGTAGAACAACATGGCTGACTCTGTGGAAGAGGACCTGCTCTCTATGTCGACATAAACAGCTCATTATGAGGTAACAAAAACACAATGATTCTTTTTTTCAGGTGAATATACACTACACACTGATGTTTTTATGTGTGTCTATGTTTGCCCGCGTGTATGTACTTACACATGTGGTTTGGGGTCGATGGGAGAAGGCAGCAGGTAAACTCCGACAGCTACGGCGAGCAGAGCCACCAACAACGATCTCTTAACCAACCTGACAGACAGCACACATAAACAGTCCATTTATTACCTCCGCCAAGGAGGTTATGTTTTTGCCGGTGTTGGTCTGTTTGTTTGTTTGTCTGCAAAATAACTCAAAAAGGTATGAACGGATTTTGATGAGTGCTGCTAAGGCTGTCAGACCATAGAATTTATTTATTATTTTGTCCACTTTGCTTCAACCGATCGCCACCAACATTTTAACATCTGTTCCTTGTCCCATTATCCACCTTTCCTGAAAATTTCATCAAAATCCATTCATAACTTTTTGAGTTATTTTGCAGACAAACAAACAGACAAACAAACAAACAGACCAACGCCGGCGAAAACATAACCTCCTTGGCGGTGGTAACAAAGAGAAGAGCCAAGAACAAAGTCAGTGCTAACAGAACAAAAAACTAAAACATAATTCTGATTGTTCATTAACTAATTACATAAATAGCTTGCTTGACCTCTGTACTCACACACATTCCCAAATATCACAAACTATAAATGTGCAATCTAATTATATAAATGTATGTATGGTGTGTTCTGTACAGCCTAATTTTTTGCATCATTTTGATGGAGGCTCCAAATAAGCCCAATGGATTTCCTGTCCCTCTCCGCACTGCTCGTCTTTGTCATTCTTGTGTAAAAAATAGAAATAAAAATAAAAGGTTATAAAGAACTTGGTTTCAAAATCCAAGGGCTATAACACACATATTGCAGAAGGTAGAGACCTAGTCTTTACAGAGGCACTGAGGAGCCTCCTTTCTGAATACACCATTGACGGGATGACTCCAGAGTCATTTTGTCAGCTTGGGCCATTCAGAAATACACAGGCCATCAGGAGGGCTACTTGCAGCACAGTGTGGCGTTTCCAGGTACTGCTGAAGTGGTGGATGACGTATCAGACTGGCATCCATTGTGACAATGTCATGAAGGCTTTAAATGCCACTGAGACAGGTGCTGAACCGGTGCTCCATTTAACACCAGGCCAGGATTCAGAGACAGAGAAAAACAAACTCTCTGTCCGAGTACTTGTTGAAAAGTTCGTCACAAGAGTCTTTAAAAAAGCTAAGGTCGACATCAGATGTGAAGACCTCTGTGTCTACACTGACCGCCTTGTCAGTAAAATGTGGGCTGAGGTTGAGGGAGCAGATTTTTATATCTCCCCAGAAACTTTTAAAGGCCTCGACAAGGCAGTTTTTAAGGACTTGTGTAAATCCTGGGGCTGTGCTGAGCTTGTTCTGCTGAGAATGAACCAAGGAGAACAAGAAATCAATTGCATAGCCGGCACCTTTACACACCATCTGATGACGCCACCGAAGCAACGAAGTGCCATCTGCAGGTTCTTTTCCAGTCTGGGCCAAGCAATCTCTAAGCCCTTCACTTCTACCAGGGTCACTTCCATTTAGGTGACATCTGACAGGATTCATGTTGGAGGAAAAAACTGGCGTGAGGCCTTTTTCCTCCAACATGAATGCAATAGAGAGCTCATGTCCTGCCTCCCATCCAGGTTACCCTTAGACACATGTGAGACAGGACTTGAGCTCTCAGGACCACCTTGGTAGTCAGCAGCACGATCTCACAGGTGAGGGTTCGATTCCCGGTCCTGAGCCTTTGTGAGTTTGTGTGTAGTCTACCTACGTGGTACGGGTTTTCTCCGGGTGCTCCGGTTCGCCCGTTTTCTTCAAGCCATGCAGCAAAAGCTAACTGATTTCATGTTTTTACAATTCGATCACAACAATTATATCAATTAAAAAAACCTAAATTGATCTTATGTCTCTTGTCATTATCTGTCATAGCTGTAAATATTCAAGTCAGGCTGAACTTCTGTTGATTCAGTTTCACTCAGGTTAAAGGTTTTGTGTAGAAAATACAGAGAAAGACTGATCTTTTGTTTCTTTTTAATGTGAAAAGCAGTTTTTTAGCATGAAAGTTTGCTTTTGATACTTGAACTATGTTTTTCTGAGATCACCCTTTGTAGCAAGGTTGTGTTTCAAAAGAAAAACAATAGACTATATACAAGAATTCAAAATATTAGATCAATTCATTTTTTCTTAGAGTGTGTCAGTGATCAGTCTGGCTGACTGCTGAGCAGATGTTGTCAAGTTTTTCATGACTGAGTAAGTCATCCTGTTCACACGATCTTTTTTTTTGGACCAAAAGGAACTTTCTGGCACCAACAGCACGCGGCAGTCACCGTCGGTCTGAACCTGAAGGTTTCGTGAAATTAACAGAACAGGAAAGTAGACGGTTTAGCCTTCAAATTAAAAGTGTAGAAATTGTCATTTAAAACATGACTGTTTTGATCCATCAGCTTGATTTTTTTTTCTCAAACTCAGAGCAGTCTACAAAAGAAAACAGACTTGAACATTTAAAAAAAAAAAAAAGTCATACTCCAACAAGATCAGGCCCCCACCACCAGACCAGAGGCCGTAATAAAAGCAATGGCATCACATATTAATAAAATTCACCTATACATGTCTGCACACATGTGAACGTGCGCATCTGAAACATATCTAACCCACAACAGACTGTGAAATATTTCCCATGTAGCTCCTTTTTCCCCGTATACGAGGAAATGTTAAAAGACAGAGCTCAATAATCGTCCACCTTGATGCAGGCAAGGAAAAACATAAATAACCAAACTGAAATAGTCAGATGCATGTGTCACCTGGTAAGGTTAGTTTAGGTGAACAGGGGAGCTCATGAACTTTCTTGACCTGGGAAAATAGTGTGCCAAATAATAATAATGAACTAATATAACAATTGATTACATTTGAACAGATTGCGAAGCCCCTTAGGAGCACTTTTCACCTCAGACTCACTGTCTGCAGTTAATAAGTCAACAGTGTTGTGTCACACATGGTGGAGTGAACCTTGACATGTACATGTTTCATGCAGGATCTATAACATGTAACACATGTTGGTTACACAAAAGGCGAACCCATCAGTCCAAGAGTCTGTTGTGTGACTGACATTGATCTGAAACTACAGATCAATGTTCCAATAAATCAATAAGACTGCAGAGTGCAATCACTGCATGTGTTTTTCATTCCATTTCTCTGTTCCCTCCTATCAGACGTTAAAAGAATAATGAGGCCAGGAAATAGGAGAAATCCCACAAGGCACTGGGTGAGGAACATCTGCAACAGTTTGCATACTAGTTTACATCTCCATTGTTTTCCCTACTTGTTGCCAAGCACTCAGCAAAAGTGCTGTGACCAACTGTGCTGGTTGCATAATTCACCCTGACACATCTGGTGTCATCGGAAACTATGGGATGTTGACTAGAAGTCAAAGTTGATGTGCTGACTGCTGGTGGAGAAGAAGGGAGGACAGAAGACAGTATAATAAATATGAAATGTCAGATGATTTTTTTTTTAAATTGTTGTTGCTTTATCCGCCGAATTAAAGGCAACCACTGTGTTGTTAAGAGGAGTTGACACAACTCTACATTAGATCAACACTTTCCCATGTGGATCCATCATTAAGGAAAAATGAGCGTTTTTAAGATGAGATCTGGCACATTGCATTGAGCAAAGTTTATTTTCTTGGGAACTGTCAATATATTATACATTAGATTTTTTTCTTTTCTTAATTTACATTTCTTTGGGTGGTTTAAGTCACTTATCAGGAAGCATGAATCAGTTTTGGTCAAATTAAACTCAATCCCCTCCCGCTCACAGCTGACTTGCATTAACACCTGAACCAGCTGTAAACGTTGAATTTATTTAAACAAAAGCCGCTTGATGCATTTGATTCAAGCCGAAAAGAAGTCTGGCCCCTGACGGCCCAGAACAACATCTCTAATTAAGTTTTAGTACGACGCCGCTGCGGTAAAACAACAATTAGCAGATTTTTGAACGCAGTTTGGCGACGCCGGAAGAGGCTTCATACTGCCGGAGTCTAACATTTGTTGTTTGTGAGTTTAAAGTTATTAAAATGTCAAACTTACATAGTTGAGCTTTGAGTCAGCGTCTCTTCGTCCTGACCTGCTGGATCAAACAGGTCTGACACAGTGTGTGCAAGAGCATCCGGTGACCTTCAAAATAAAAGCGGTGAGGCACACGCTTCCGGTCCTTCTGTGCGTCTATAAGTTACATACATATACACACACACACACACATTACATATATTACATATATATTTCTGCTACTCTCTAGTCTTTTTAGTCTTTGAGTCTATTTTATTTTATTTTTTTATTCTTGCTATTTTCTAGTCTTTATTAATTGTACTTTTTTTAAATTAATTTTTAATTTTTATTTTGAATCTTAGAATTACTTGATGCTTTTGCAATATAGTCTTTGTTACATTTGTCCCTGCTACTTTTTAGTCTTTATTAATTGTGCTTTTTTTTTTT